TTTTTTTTTTTTTCTTCGAATTTCTGTCAGTGGGTTCGAACCCCAGGTAAATTAAAACATTTTGAATGCAAATTATTATCTATTTAAAATATTTAATATCTTTTTAGAAAGAGTGACTACCTAATTCCTTTTTATAGAATTAATAGTTAAGTAAGCAATCTCGATTCAAAAAATCAAGTGTATTTTCCTGATCCACAATACGTCCTTGAAAAAGTCTACTGACAAGAGCTTAAATACTCCACTTGCTTTCGTTTCTCGCTATCTTCTCTCTAATTTTATTTGCAACAACGTCCCTTATTCTTACGTATTGGTATTCCTATTCGTGTATTCGAATTTGTTTTATTTGTGTTAGCGTTTTGAGTTTTTATATTATTTTTGTGTATTTTGATTTGCATTCGTGTATTTGGATTTGATCGAACATGAAATGACGTCAAAAATGATCCAAACTCAAGTGGAACCACGAGCGCATCTAGTGGTTTCACTGCAAAATTTGGATCATTTTTGACGTCATTTCATGTTCGATTACAATACAGACCCATAGAAAACTGACTTTGATTTGTTTTTTACCATAACAAAGTCGAAAAAAATGAACAAAAAGACAAGTAAATAGTTTGAACAAGCCGTTACATCCGCTCGCTCAGTGCGCGCGTCGTGACGGATGTCGTAAGCACAAGCAGGTCTATCCTCTAATCGAAAATGGTTCTAAGCCAATCAGCGCGCGAGAAATTTCCAAGTTATGATAAAAACGGACATGTACCCGGTGTTTGCTACGGCGTGACCCTGCCGCTAACCAGCCTCCTACGTTCTTAGTGTCTGTCACGCAACGTCAGCGTAGGAGGCTAGCCGCTAACGTGATTGGACAAACGGTAGTCCCCCGCGCATATTCCTACTTTTCCATTCAATTGACACATATTGGGCTTTAGTCGGTATTTAACGGATAAAAGCATCGACAATCTATTATCTTGACATTCAACATGACATCTACTGACCACGTGACCTATTAGTATATACTGCCCCAAGTGGTCTCACAAATATAGAACTTGGTTCCACTACACATGCAGTACTGTACAGATTTACTGTAAGAGGAGATCTCTTAAAAACCTTATCTTGATCTATACCGATGTAATCAGATTTTTTTTTTTGACAAATACATATCACATATTCTTTCGGTTTTAGGTTGATGTTGGCTTGAATTTTAATAGCGAAAGTAATCTGAGAAATATGGGAAACTAAAGTGAATGACATGTTAGAAAGACAAGCAGGATTTTAGGAGCCTCCGTAAGCGTAACAGTATACACACATCGTGGTGAGTAGAATGATATCCAATGATTATTATAAAAGTGCAGTCAGTCCTAAGTTAGGCCTAAGCTTAAGCATGAAAGAATGAGCGCGCGCTAGGTCCATGTTGAACACACTTTGAGCCAAATATAAAACACCAAACGCCCGGAAATTACACGATAAACCAGCTGAAGGCAAAAGGGACAAATTCAGGATATGTAGAACTATTTGTCCTGAAGGATTCCATTCATTAGTGTTTTCATCAGCCGTGGCTGTAATGGAAAAAAAAAAATATATATATATATATATATGTGTGTATTTATATATTTTTGGCATACAACATTTTGTTATTCAAGACTATTTCTAACCTTAGTGGCATCACTAAAGACCTAAATTTTCGAGACTCCGGGTGCCCATTTTTTCAACATTTCAATGGCCGTTTTTTTTTTAAAAGAATAATCAGTGATGTAGATGATAGTACTATCAGTTTGATATTATGTTATCTCTGATATTAAGATTCAAGATAGATTTTTTTCCTCCAAAAAATACATCTTAAAGTATATTTTATTTTTATTTTTATTTTCTGTCGCGCTAGGCTCACACGAGGCGAGTCTTTTTCTTGTTTCAGGGTTTTTTTTTCAGTTTCGAGTAAACCAGAAAATAAAAAATTCATAGGAAAAAATTTTTTTAAAATTCTTAGAGTTCTCCGTTGAGGTACGAAATCAATTTCATACCATCCATTAGATAAACTGTATCATTTCCTTGCAATTTTTCAAATAATTTTAATACATCCTTTAGTTGAACAGAGATCAGTGTTTCGGCAGTCCTGCTGCTATATAACAGATTTGTTTAAATTGAAATGCGTTTAGCTGACGATACGATTTTCTGATGGCAGAATATTAGTAGCAATACATCAAAATCAATGTAAGAATTATTTGATATCATGATGTATATATATCTGTCATATTAGCAGTGGGGTAGCTAGATTCGTCTATCGTGGGGGATCCTATGTGTTTTATGCTTGATATTGTAACGTACACTGAAGCGAACACTTTACCATTCTTTACTGATTTAAAAAAAAAACTATTTCTATAATAGGTATCATTTGGAAAAAATAAACTTTCTTTTAATAGCGTAATGTTTTCCCGTTTCTGACTATGCGTCCTTCCCGCTCCTTGAATATTATTTCTTTCTTCATAGGTTTAGACTCAGATATTATATTCGCGAGAAATTGACATCGTAACGTAATGCTACCAATTTCAGAACATGTGTCTTTCCCTTGATTATTATTTCTTTCTTTAAGAGTTTGAAGGTTCTGCTACTTTTAAAATCACATGATACAATATACTTCGTAATGGATAACCTTTTTATGTCAAGCGCTATTCCCTTGAATATGATTTCTTTCTTGATAAGCATTATCGCATTTCTAATCATGTGGCATGCCCTTGAATATTATTACCAGCATTGTTCAAAACTAAAACTAATGTGCATTCTTTTAAAACAAAAAAGAAATTTCTTTATTTGAAGTAATGTTGTTGACCCTATGTCAATCCCTTGAATATGATATTTTTGTTTTGTGCATTATGCTGGGGAATTACGCGCAAGTGCACGCCGTTTTTTGTTGTCTAGACCAAATCATGAAGCCCTTTCTCTGCTTTTTCCAATGGCTTTTGAAGACAGTTTTTATATAAATGCAACAAAAAAATCGTTATCTATTTCCTTAAACTTGAAACTGATTTACATACCTTTCGAAGACTCGCAGCTCTGAAGTCAAACATTTGTAACAAATTTTCGAGAAAACGCTTTAGATTTAATATAAATATAAATTTTTAAAATTCAACAATTTATTTGAAAAACATATTCAAATGATGATTGCTTTTTCGGTTTTATAAAAATTTTACATCGCATATGTAGGTCGTAAACTAATGCGTCGCCTTTACCATACCTCGCTATTCTGTTCGCTACATAACTGACACGCAGGTGTTTTGGGGTCATTAACAATTTTGTGCCAAAACTATCATCGTCTGGTTCGTTAATGGAACTGTCCTCTTTGAATTGCATTCAATATTACATACATGTAGTTTTATTTTAATAACTTGTCTAATCGCTCTTCTAGAGCACCTTTGAGGCTACGGCGAACAGAAACATAAGTCAAACTAACATTAAAATGAAAACTCCGGCTTCGCTGCTTTTGTCTCGGTATCATAAACCTCGTCGAGAGGTTAACTGAATATATAAGCAGAAAAATACGCAGGTCTGGGAGAGCTAAAAGAATGATTTATTTTGAAGTGATATGGCAATCACTGGCTACGAAAGACAGATATATGACGTGAAAATACTTCATTATAAGTTATTTACATGCATGCGCGTCAAACGGCGCAATAAACGCCATTCTCCGGATGTTTTTCTGTCCTTTGTTTAAATCAGAGTTTTAAATTCCTGTCTTAAGCCACGAAACTATGGCAGGGAATGAAGGATTGAGATTTGCGAGACCTACTTTCCTTAAGGTCAGTTGCCAAATTAATATATTTTAGTATTCTATTTGTTTCTTTAATATTCTCGGATCGGGAAAGCCTTGATTAGATTCACTCAGATTTCTGGTATTTTTTCCTTTTAGTTTTCCTACCAGCTCGAAATCATTGAAATATTTGTTCGCTCGTGTACTTTACTTGATATAAGGTGTTTTCTTTAATATATTATTTACGTAGGTATGTGGCTATGTACTTTATTCTATATATGTGTGTGTGTATAAATATCTGTGTGTATTATAGGAACTTTATATGCCGGTATGGTATATATGTCATACTGATAGAGCCTATGAATTGGCCAAGTAAATATTTTCAGTTGCAGGGCTATRAGGATAAACACAGATTCAAATCAAATTTATTTATTAAGAAATACTCTTGCTACCAGATAGAATTTTCAATATACGTGTAGATATACATTTATATACAAGTATATATAGTCTCATGCGTTGTAAATATAAATATTTTTCGTAATGTCGCTAATTGACGCAGAGTATAGCGCATTACCGTTAAGTTACAATTAGAGGCGCTAGACGTGCAGAATGGTGAACTGGATTTAAGGAGCCGCAATTAACGTTAATTCAAAACCCACAGATTGAAAAACAATTTATTAAAAATCACGAACAGTAGCAGTTTGATATAGAAATAGGAAGAAAGGAAGACCAAACAGTACGTAATGAGGAAATGGGGAAGTATAAGTGGCTTTTTAATGAGATGAAATACTAGAGAAAACGGATGAAAAGGATAAAAAGGAAAAATAAAAAAGATAGATGGAAAATAATGACAAAAGAAAGCAAGAAGTCAAAGATATATAGTAAAAAAGGGAAGAAAAAAGAAGGAAAGATGAAATAGAAAATTTGTAAAAACTTAAAAAGGAAGGGATAAAAAGAAGAGAAAAGGAAAGTATGAAGTGAAATATATATCTAAAGCAAAAATAAATAAATAAATAAATGAATAAATAAATAGATAAATAAATAAAATAAAAAGGGAAGGAAAGGGAAAATCGAGTTTGAATTACAAAAATAATTATTATTATTTCGAAAAAGCATTTTTTGAGTAAGTCGTATTAAATCAACATGCGATTTCGAGTGATTTGTTTTGTATTACAGGTATTATTAGACGAGTATGTGACGCATGGTGCTGTAGAGCAGGTGCATGTTACGTCATTGCCGCCATCTTGGTTGACGATAACTAGATCAACCAAGATGGCGGTTGTTTCATTGTTACTCATATCTCAAGGGATTTTGAGCCACATGGTTGCACACACTCTATAAAAAGATGTTTCTTAAGATATATTCAGTTTCCATTGATGATGATCAAGCTCAATCAAGAATTCTCTAGTCTATTAGTCTGAGTTCACTGAACTTCAGGTCTAATATCGATATCGCGATCGCACGGGTCATCCTTCAGATAATCGCTGTACAAATTATCTCAAGCAAAAATAACTAAACTAAATGGAAATAACTATGTACACTCTGTGGTACCCACCGCGAACCACGTGTCGCCCTCGCAGAGTTCAAAGAAAGACTAGTAACGACTTCGTTGTGCATAGAATTGTGGGACTGAATAGGGGACCGCCATCTTATTTCCCAGAATCCCTTCCCTCAATCCTATGGACCACGGCTTTAGTAGGTTACCTTTTCTGACATTTTCCTCATCGCGCTATCACATGTCCAGAACATGTGTTCAAATGTTCAGTGTCCATGATCACATGACAATAGCATGTGATTATATTCCAGGTCACGTGATCAAAAATCCTGACATATTTATTCACACGGAAATCGACCTTCAAGACAGTAAATCAGCGAAATAGTAATTAGACGCATGAGTAGAATACACAGATAGGATATATACTTAAAAAAATTGTTTTCTAGACTAGAGAGGTATTGGATGTTATCAAGCTTATTTCATCGCTGCTATTACACCGACTATTGGATGTTTCCAGTCCATATTTTCAGTTTTCGTCAAGATTGTGCCACATCTTTTCAGTAGCAGGTTTGATACGTGATATTCAGTGAGGCAGTTCAAGAGCTTTCCGCTGGGAAATGTTCAATAAAACCCTTGACTTTCAAGTGGTTGATAGCCATCTTATCTTCCTTCACCTGGTATATTCCCTTGTTCTCTGCGCAGACAGGCTTAATTAATGAAGAACGCATCAGTGGCTCTTACTAATGGGTAAACATGAGCGACTTAATAACCTCTTGTTTTTACGACCAATCAAATTGGAGAATATAAAATATCAACCAATCAGAGAAGAGTGACGAAATCACTGTGAATAAAGAGGAAATGAGAATGGAAAGTCTCCAAATCGAAAATACCTTTTATGGATTTGTACTTTAGATGACAAACATGATTTAATTGCGTTAGATTATTCAAACGTTACTGGGGGAAACCTAAAGAAAACCAGAAACGGATAGTTATATTACCGAGACGTCAGGAAAAAAGGTTGATTTTTGAATGAGTTGAATAATAAAATAATAATGATAATTATGGTAATGATAATTATGGTAATGATAATTATGGTAATGATAATAATAATAATGATAATGATAATAATAATGATGATAATAATAATAATGATAATAATAATGATA